CACACCCCCCAGAGCCTGCTTGAGGAGAAGCTCTTCTGCAAGGGAAGCAGTTTCTTCAAGTTGCTGGGCCTCTTTCTTGTGCTTCGTGCTTTGCTGAGTACCTTGGGGGTCGGGGTTTTAGTGTGAGTAAGCGGGCTTCTTCACCCTCCAGTTTTAAAGCTAACTATGATAAAATACTTGAGGGACAGGAAGTGAATCTGGTGACAAGCCCAAAGCTAAATGGTCCAGCCTGATCTAAGCGGTTCAGGAAAACTGCAGCGCACAGGAATAAGGGGTGGCCAGGAGGGAAGACGGACCCGCCCACTGCCAAGGGGTTGGCTACATTTTTAAGCTAAACATCATCTTAACTTGCCTCTTTCTTTCCCATTCCAACTGTGGCTTGACCATGGTGGCCTTGTGGCCAAAACATGCTTTCCCAGGATCTTTTATTTAACTGTGAATCTACCTGTTGGATACTTGATGGATATTTCATAAAAAGTTTTAATTCAGAGGAGGAAGAGAGAACAGGAAGAGTTGGAGGCAGGAGGCTGAGGCTGAGGAGTCTAAGGTCTGCTTGCCCCCCATCACCCTGAACACCCTGCTAAGAGGGCAGGTGTCAAGACTGGGACCCACGCTCATTGAGCCAGGGGCTGTATTCCCCAAGGAAGAAGCATCCAAGCAGGCTGGTCCCCTTTTCAGGGCTAAGGCCACTTGGAGAAGGAAGTTAGAGGGGACGATTGGCAAGGGTTCTTTCAAGCCTAGGACTCCGTGAAAACCTGAGGTGGCCCCAGCACGCCGGTTACACATGGAGGTGCCAAGGGTCAGTTTCCCTGAGCTCTGGGAAGCAAACCCACAGGAAGACGAAGGCTGTCGTGGGGCCTGGAGGAGGGAGGAGTGTCTGCTCCATATGGAATGTTCCTGTGGCAGAAGCACAGAGAGTTCTTTGACTTAAAGCAGTAATTACCTCCCTGGCTTCTCACATCAGCCTGTCAGACTTGGAGCACTGTTGCTGCTGTGGCATTGTTGAATCAAATTACTAAAAAGGTCAGCATCATTAATATGTTGTTTGAAAAGCAAGAAAAATGCCAGGCGGAAAATCCGTGCACCTCCAGGGCCTTTAGTCCAAAGCCTTGCTCTGATTTGCTTATTGTGCTATTACCCTGACCTGCTCCAAGGAGCAAAACCACCTGTGGCAGCTCCCAAGACATGTGGTCTCCTAACCCTCTGCTCTGGGTGGAACCTGCTCTCCTGAGCCTTCCCCAGGGGGAAGCTCCTGGGTGGGGAAGCCTGGGCTTCCTCCTACCTGACAGCAGGTGTCTAGGTCTGTTCATATGTTTGTTCTCAAGCCAAGGCTCATTTGCTAGTTTAAAACTGAACTACGAGGCCATTGGAGAAGCTCTGGGGCTTAGGGCAAACACCTCAGGAGAGGGCTAATAACCTCATCACCAATATTTTGGATGGCCTTAGAGCAATCACTAGAAACTGCTGGTTTTTCTACTCCCTGTAATGAAAATTGCTTCTTTTTGAAGTAACTTGAGAGAAAATTGTACTATATCATTAATTCACAATTAATACTCGAGATTTTTTTTCCTTCATAGAATGAGACTCATAAACTATCAGCTTGAGGCCTGTTCTGAATTAGAAATTAAGTTACCTTATAGCAATAGGTAAACAATGATTCTTGAAATGGCCCCAAACCCTGGCTTACACATCAAGGGGCTTGAGTTTTCAGCTCACCTACTTGGGTGCTGCTAGTGTGATTCATGACTTTAAATAATTATATTTGCTTGATGGGTTGCTTAGTTGTTTTTTAAAAAATATTTCCAGGTCCTTTACAGCTGTGACACTAAAGAAGGCAGTGTAAAAGAGGCAGCATGTAGAAGTCTGTATATTTTGACCCCAACCCGTCATGATGATCACAGTCGCCACGACTTTAGTCACTGCGTTGACATTGAGAACAGTCTTTGAGAAGACTATGAGCTTGATCTCGACTCCATGCCGCCATCTTTAAATATGCAACTTCAGAGAAAAGTGACTCTGATATATAACTTTTGGTTGTTTACCAATCAACATAGCAATGGATTAGCAGGCAGTTGGCTCTTAGAGGGTTGAAAAACAGAAAGGATCTATATTGATGCATATGTTTCCAAATAGAAGTCTCACCTGGGGGGAGGGGAAGCTGATGACAACGTCTTGCTTCACAGTTTTACCTAAAGTAGCTATAAACTTCCTTAAAAATGTAAAGAAACTACTAATTCATAAAAATCACTATTAATAGTCACTAATATAATTACTAATATAATTTAATAATGAGCAGAATTGAGAACAAAATCATGAAAAGTGGGTAAAAATGCCCCAAAGGCAGAGAATTCCATCACCTACTTCCACACGTATTTACTAAATTGCTTGACTCCTGCCCATAGATTTTGCATGAACCCAGCTTTTCTTCTTCCAGATGTGTATGAAATAACACTTATTCCCAACAAGATATGCTGTCTTTCTGCGTTTGATGACATGAGCCCTTATTTAGAGCTTAGACCACATCAGGCCCTGTGCTAGATGTTGCAGGGGCTGAACTCACTCCCAGTCACCGCTTTCTGAAACCGCCCCAGCACTTTGCTTATACCAATACCTAAACATTTTTTTAATACTAAAGGCACAAGTTATGCTCTAACTCAGTTAGGGTACACTGTTGCCCTGCTTTATTGCAAGCCTGACACTACACTTTGGGCATAATAGGTGCTCAACAAACATGTGGAGAATGACAGAAGAGGCAGTGACCTCTTCTGGTTGTATTCCATTAAGCAATGAGAATAAATACTATTATATCTAAAATAACACATATAACTGAATGAGAAAATGGAAATTGATCTATAAAGATTCATTTACATAAGAATTTGGGGGGTGGTAACATTTCCTGCGTGTGTTTCTATTACTAGTGTGAATAAATTATTGTATCTCTTTAAAAACAGCCTTGGTTCAGTCTGGCAAGACAGCAGCCCAGGCTCATGAATGACCTACTCATCTTAGCCACACCACTGCCTATGAATCAAAGAGTCTCAAGACAGCTGAGGATCAGGGAGTTACCGAAAACAACCTTGTAAATTCTCAGTCTTGCCTGTGCACAAAGAAAACACTCTATAAATAACCTCTACAAATAAAATCGAAACCCCAGAGACTTGGACAAGGTCAGGGGGATGACCTTCTTCTGCATGCAGAGTGGGAGACGTGGGAGAATTTCCCTTGGTGATGAGGAGTCCTCATTAGGTGTAAAGATACTTCACCAAGGGCCGAGCCGTCTGTTGTGTTCCGGGCAGCACAGAGGCAACAGTGACCAGGTGTTAGTGTGGGGAGGGATCTCTACAAACAATTGACTGTTGACTCATTGAAAGTGTTTACCTTTAGAAAGCGTCTCTCCTACCTGCAAAGTAAAAGGTAGCCTGCCACATTTTTGTAGATACAGAGTGTCGATTCATTCTTGAATAGAAATCAGCTGTGGGAATCTGAACTTGGGACCTGCAGGACAGTTGCCCATGGAGTAGGCTGTGGTACAGGAGAGAATCTGTGCGCCCAGGGAGCCTGAATCTTTTCTAATGGTTAATAAGCTGTCCTGCTCTTTGCTATAAAGGGAGGCATTATCTCCATCTTCCAGAGTGTTTATGATACAAATGTGCTGGGAGAGATAATCTGCAACAGTCCGTGTCGGTTTTTGCAAGGAATACGAAATGTGAGAGACTCAAAGAAATGTCTCTCAACACACGCATCGCGTGCATCTGCTCCAAGTGGCAAGGGCATGCACGTGTGAGTGAATGAATGAAGGCACAGAGTGAGATAGCAATTGGGGGCACAAGAATCGGCCTGTGGGCTTGAAGGCAGAAGCAGAAGCTGTTCTTCAGTCAGTTTGTCAGAGAAGAGTCTTAGGAGATGGTGACATTTGAACAGAGACCTGAATGACAGTGCCATCTGAATATCTGCCAACAGCATCCCATACTGAGAGACAAGTGAGCCAAGGCCCAGTGCAGAACTGAGCCTGTTGGGCTGGAACACACAAGAACCCCAATGTGAGTGGCGAAGGAAGGAGCCGGAGATGAGGCTGGAGAGCAAACCAGGAGCCAGGTGATGTCCTGCGCCCAGTGACCCAGGTGGACCAAGGGGAGAACTTCCTGGGTTTTAAGTCTCATAGGCTGCATTAGGCAATAAATGAACAGACAGAAGGAACGACCTCCCCTCATTTCTGAGTTGAATGGTCATAAAAGGGCCACCGGATGGCGAGTAGTTGAAAATTTTCATTCTAAGTCATGGCTCGTCCTAGAGGAGCTGGAGCCTCAAGAAGAAGACCAGAGTGGCCACAGCAAGGCAGAGACAAGCCCAGGGCCCGAGGAGCCAAGGCGAGCTCTGCACCTGCGGGCTCCCGTGCCTGGGCCCCCAGGGTCACAAGCCAGGAACACTGCTCGGGGGCTGCCCCCCACAGGCCTCGCTGGGCCCGGCCCCCACCCCCTGTGCCCTCCCCAGGTCCCCTTAGGCCTGTTCCTTTCCTGGCGTCCTCTGTTGTTCTCCTTTGTGTATTTCTTGCCTCAGTGCCTCCTGCGTTCGACTTCCACGGCTCAGGTCGTCCTTCCTATTTGCCTCCACCCATCTAATCGCGAAAGCCTCTTCTCTCTCCTGTGACTTCATGGCTCCCTCGATTCTGTGAAGCCCTGCGATGACTGCGTCTCTCGCCAGTCCGAGAGACAGGAGCAAGAACCGAGCTGCCTCCTCCACCTGAGGGGAAAAGCCCTCCCGTCTCAGGCTGGCGCCCCAGGGTGATGGGCGAGGGCGAGAGTCTCCACTCCGGCAACCCTGTGGTGGACACTCACTGTCCCCTGGGAAGAGCCAGGCCAGCGCTTAGACTAGTGACTGGCACATGGTTGATTCCCTGCCAAAGCTTGTGAGCATAATGAACGTGCTGTTGGGCCACCGGGTTGTCTGGAGCTTTTGGCATGAATGTTACACCCAAATCAGGCATCTCCAGGCTCTACGTCTTTTCTTTTATGAGCTCAAGGAAAAGAGTTGTTTATTTTGTTTTGTTTTCCACAAGCAATGATTACCATGGCTGCATAGAAACTGGTTCTTGTTCTTACCACAAAACCACAGAATTTTTGATAGGCAGGATACAAACAGCAAAATCTCAGATGACAATTGTTAACAGGAACAACAAAGTAAAACATTGGGAGACCCAGAATATGGAAAGTTAGTTTACGTCTCTGAAAGTTGCTTGGAGTAAATTTCTGTTTTTCCATCTTGTATTAATTTTCCTTTGTTTGTTGGTTTGTTTGTTTATTTTGGGCAGTGCTGAGCCCAGGCCTCATGCGTGCCAGGCCAGTGCTCTGCCACTAGGCCACAGCTCACTCCATTCTCACACGGGTCTGTCTTTTCACTGTGTCACAGCTGCCTGCGTTAATTAGCAGGTGACCGAGAGCGGAAATTGTGTTTGATTTTGTTTCTTCATTCATCAAACATCTTTTGAGGGCCTGTAGATGCCAAGGACTGCACTGGGCGCTGAATAAACCCCCTTCTTTATTGATTGCTCTCTCTGTGGCATTCGGTTATGGCAACAGAAAATGGGCTTAGATCCAGGGGAGAGGAGATCAACCCAGAAAGAGATGACGCCAGAGAATCGATCCACGGGGGAAGCACGCTTGCGTAGTTCATAAAGAATTGCGCAACGTTATTGTTCTGGAAGGACTCACCAGTGCCTTCCCTGTCCTTGTTACTTGGTTAAACTGTTAAAAAATGAGTGAACACCTCCATTAGAGCGAGGCACCCATATGAGCGTATGACTCCTCCACAGCCACCCCTCACCCAGATAGTGAGGAGAGTCAGCAGAGAGCTGCCCCTGCTCCAGACAGACTTACAAAGGATTTCACATTTTTAAACAAAGTTGGCTAAGGATCTTTTCACAATAAAAGTTAGCAAGTTTTTATGACAAGAAAGTTGGAAAAACAGAGTTCACAAAAGCAGAGCAGAGAAATGAACATACTCACAATTCCCAAAGAGAGTTGATATTTTGATTATTTCCTTCCACCTTTTTTTCCTTTGCATAAGCTTTATTTGTTTGCTTCTTTGTTAACCTAATTGTTAACACTGCATGGCTTTCACACTGCAGAGAAGGGAATGGTTTGATGGGATTTCACCTCAACTAGATGGCTGTAAAGGTCATTTGACAACACTGATTGATTTTCCATTACGTGTCGGGCGGGCAGTGCTGAGTGCGGTCGGAACAGCAAACACCGTGGGCACAGCATCTGCCCTTGAGGTGGCCATGGGAATGGGAAGGCCCGGAAATAAAAGGGCTGTCAAAACTTTGGGCTCTCTCAGTGAGGGCTCCCCTCTGCAGCTCCCTCTGTCCAGGAGGCTGTGACCGAGCGCTCCCGGGAAGCGCCTCTGTGCTCTTGCGGTCAGCATGAAGCAGGCTGGAGGTGTGGGACTGCCCTCTCCTCTCCAGCCTGGACCAGCACTGACTTCTGAAGCTGCCCGGGGCTCCCCCTGATACCTGCCTCCTACCTCAGTGGCAGCCCAAAGAAAGGAGGTGGCCCTGCCAAAGCCCCCAGCTCCCAGGCTGCTTCCTTCCTGGGTTGAGGAGACCAGGCCCAGGGCCTAACACGCCACGTGTTGTCCTTAATCTTAGAGGAGAGAGCTGTCACTCCTCCTTCCCCACCAAAGAGCCAGGTGCCACCAGCAGGGGAAGCCACGGGGAGGCGGGCTCAGCCACTGCCGCAGGAGGTACAGCACCACAACTGCTGGTCCTCAGCCCTCCCTGCCACCAGGAGAGCCGCACCCACACCCCGCCAGGCCTCTGGAAGGCCCCTTTCTGAGGCGAGGCCTGCGGTTTCCCCAAACCCTGCCTAAGTGGGCTGAACCCTGACCATTAACCCACCTCACACAACCCTCGTCATGCTCTCCTCTGGGTGACGCGCTTGCGCCAGTCCCCTGCAGGCGGGGGTGCCATTACGCACAGTGTCCCGGTTAATGGATAACTGAGCGATCAGGGGTGCAGGAGCAGGCAGCCTGGTGGTGCCACCACAGCAGGGCCACCGAGGGGTCAGGGCAGCAGGAGGCCAAGAGTCCTGGAGCGTTTATAGGAAAATGTGACAAGAGTGAGCTTTCCTTATTTCTCACCATACACACCCTGATAAGTCAAGGTTATTCTCCCAGCGACTGGTAACGCCATGAACTTTAGAATCTACTCAGGCAATCACATGTCTCTGTTGTCTGTACCGAATGCCTTTGAGGCTGGGAAATTCCTCTGACTGGTTAAACATTACATAACACACACCTTCTTGGAATGAGCAGGCCGTAAACCATGCAGCCACGCACGGGAGAAAAACGTGGACTTTGACACAGTATGAGAGTTGGGAGTCTCTTCTAATAGTCTGACTTGGAGCAAGCCTGCTTCTCCAGATTTTAATATGATTCAACATGGTGATTTGTGACACTTTCCCGTATAAAATACTCCCCAGCTCCTCTTTCTACCAGACCCAGACAGAAATACGTATATAATCTCTTTCATTCAACTGTGGTTCCTGTAGGACTCGTGACTTGGATTCCCCACAGAGGGCTGTGGTACCATGGTACTAACCGGGCAGCTACAGAGCAGAGGCCGCGGCAGGCACCCCCCAAGGGCTCTAAGGAGGCTCAGAGGACACAGTGATTCACAAAGATGAAGCTCTGTGTGCCTGGAAGGTGTGCTCGCTGTTTATATAAAGTGTAATTGGGGAGCACATTTCAGTTTAAAGGCAGGGAAACCAGATCCGGTCAGCAAGGATTAAGTTTGGGGGTGCAGGGGAAGGGAGGGCAAGGAATTTCAAATCCTGACTTCAGTCACTTTTCACTATTATAAATATACATGAATTTCTTATACATTGATTTGTCTCAGTATTTTTTTTTAATTAGAAAAATAAGTGCACACAAATGCCAGTTCCCATGTGTTTACCTGGGAAGCCCCGGTCACATCACATGTCCACTGAAACCCAAGCTTCTCCATAGTATTTATTCCATTGTCTTGAGAATAGTGGTCATAGCACCCTTCTCTCTGTTTCTCTCTGTGTTTCACTTTGAGCTCTCTGAGGTGTTCATTAGGCACTCTATTGTCATATGATCTCCATGTCGTTAGTGTAATGACTATTAACTATTTAATGACTAGAAAAACCGAGGCACAGAGATTTAATAACTCTCCAAGGTTCCCTTTGCTGTGGGTGAGATTGTCGGAGCACTGAAGACCTACAGAATGACCCTCAAATCCATGTGTGTCCCTCTGCCCTTGGCAGACACCAGGGTCCCAGAGAAGCTGTCACCCAGAGACAGATGGCTTCCCACATCCTACTATGGCCACTTGGCGACTAGGTCAGAGTTCCCACGTGTGGCTGGGAGAATAGGGACGGCCTGCTGGCTGGAATCCGGGCCCTGCACTCCGTGAGTGGGAGACGGGGAACACTCAGCCTTTCCAAAAGCCAGCGTCCTTCCCCCCAGCGGAGGGACACCTGGGCTCCAGCATGCTGCTTACACCCTCTCCATGCAGCTTCTGTAACCTCGAAGACATCTCATCATGTCAGAGGTCACCTTTGGGCTTCTGAGGGCACTGGCCTTGCCACAGCTCCCTGGTGAGAAGCCCTGGGAGGGAAAGAGAAGGGAGGAAGTCGCCACTCATGAGCCCCTGGACCTCATCAAGCCCAGGGCTCCTGAATCCCTTCCTTTCCCTCCTGGGCCAGGCCCTCCTCCTGCCATTCGCCCCTCCTGTGGCAGCCCCCCAGTCAGCAGGACATCAACCTGGGACTTGCACTTCTGAGTCCTTTGCCTGAACCCCACAGAACCACCAGGTGTCCCCAAGGCCTCTCTCCCCATCGCTGGAAGGGAAGCGTAAACGTTCAGCTTCCTGCAAAGCTTGGTGAATTCTCAGTACCCAGGAACACGGGGCTGAAAGCCCCCGGTGCCCTCGCTGAGCCGAGGAGCGGGAACACAGGTCCCGCTGTCCCACGGAGCCAGGGTAGTTCCAACGGCCTCTGCGGCACCACAAGACATCCGAGAAGAGGCAGAAATGCAAGAGGAGAAAATGCAACCAGGGCTCAACGTAGAGAATCTGACCAGAGAAGACCCTCGCCCAACACGGACGACTCAGAAGAATAAACCCGGGTCTGAAGCAGGAATGGCCGGAGCGGGCTGCGTGTGGACTCTCCCGGGGTCAACCAAACCCGCGTCCCGAAAACGGCTCTCTTGCCTCACCCGCAAAGAGATCTCCGAATTCTGATCTTATTAATTTACAAGGTCTCTCAAATATTCGACTTCATTCCCGTCTGCAGATGGGAGATTTCGTTTCTCCCCATCTGATCCTCATTCCGCGGCTTCACACTCTGGCCTCTCGGTGCCTGTGGTCTCCTGCACCAGGACGGGTAGAAGCCGGAGCAGGTGCCTGTGCGGTGTTTCCCGCATCAGGGAGAAGATCTGGCGGCTCTAAGTGCTCTGGACGTTGCACACATCTGTTGGGTTCTCCTACTCAAGTTAAGACACTTGCCAATTTTTAATTTGATAAATTGTTTTTATAAAACACAGAGGGCTGAATTTTTATCAAATGCCTCCTCTGTGTCCCTTGAGTTCTTGGCTGATTTTCCTCCTTGAGTTGTTACTGTGGTCAGTTACTTTACAGATTTTCTGGAGGAAGCCTTCCTTGATCATGATGGACTTTAAAAATAATAAGTGACCAGGCGCAGTTTCCTTATAGCTTGTGAAATTTTTATTTGTGTTTATAAATAAAAACTTGTTTGTTTACAAAAATTTGTTCATGTATCAAAGTCAGGATAGCTTTATGAATTTGATGGGTAAACTTAAAAATGTCTACTAAATTAGCTTTACTAATATTAATATTAAAATATTTACATCTTTTTCAGCTTTTATTTGTTTGATCTATCAGTTTCTGATAGTGGTTAACAAATCTCCCCTCATGGATTTTGTCGTTTGTAGAATGTGGCGATTGTTATATGTCCCTGATGAATTATTCTTTTAATCTTTAAAAAGAACTCTTTTACAACTATTGATATTGTGCCTTAAAATCTAGATTTATCGAATATTAATATTGTAATATGAGCTTTCTTTCTTTCTACTATATAGTTTTAAAATAGTTTTACTTTAAAGTCTTCTATGTTCTTCCTTCTGAGGTATATAAATAATGAATACTTCTCACTTTATTTTTAATATTTTTATTTTTTAGTTCTCGGCGGACACAACATCTTTGTTTGTATGTGGTGCTGAGGATCGAACCCGGGCCGCACGCATGCCAGGCGAGCGCGCTACCGCTTGAGTCACATCCCCAGCCCAATACTTCTCACTTAATTTGAAATTTTCTGCATTTTAACAGTGAGTTTCATCACTTTCTATTTATGATTAATTATATATCTGAACTTATTCCTCTCTTTGTGTGTTTTCTATCTCCCATGTTATTTATCACGTTCTTTGCTCATTTCCTATGAAGTTTTCTTTCCTTCCTCTTCTTCATCTACCCTTTTGTACATATGTATTTTATTTCTACTCTTCAGCATGGATACATATTGAAGTCCAATTTTAATCAATATCCCTTATTTGCCAAGTGGAAGAAACTAATGCTTCATATTCAAACCCCTCATCTTTATGTTATCATCATTTATCCACCGTGTTTTTAACTCCTCACAATAGGCCCTTTGGTTGTTTACAAAATCCACACTGTTTGGGTTCACCAGGGGCTTGCCAATTTCCTTATTATTGCTCTTTGTAGCTCTAACCTTCTTTCTGGAATAATCTTTCTTTGGGGCTCACCTTTTTTTGTGGTTTCTGCAGTGTCTATGATTAGTAAAATTGTCTTCCTTTCTGTGAAAATGATCTTATGTTGCTGTACCTTTCCGTGACCGCTGAGCTGGACACTGGGGCATTATTCCCTTTCATTCTGTCTTCTGTTGTTTCTGAAGTAGGTTTGGAGGCTCGGCCAGTTTTCCTTGTAAGGAAACTGTCGTTGTCTCCTGGTAACAAGAAATTTTATGTGTCCTTGTCTTTGTCATCCCGAGATGTCCCTGTGAAATTCGTCCTCGTTGGGGTTGCTGACACAATTGTAATGGGAGGATTCACGTCTTCCTTCAGTTCTGAAAACTACAAAACCGTGTCTTTAGAACATGTCTCCTCCCCTTTCAGGGGCACTTTCAACTTCTCACTCTCAGGGCCGCCTCCTTTAGCCCCTGGGGATTCCCCATCTCCACACTCCTCCCTGCGGTTCAGAGCTGTCTTCCATTAACTGATTTTGTCTCCAGATACATGGACTTACTGTTTAATCTACACTGAGATTTCCTCTAACTGTATTTTTCTTTTTTTCTGCATTTCTCTTTTTACACGACTTTGCTTTTGTCTTCTGATTTCTCCCCCTTCTTTTATGTTCTAAAGCAAACACTTTTTAAATACATCTCATTTCTCGGGTGACCATTTTTCTTTTTTCCTTAGGATTGGCTTGTGTTCCTGTAACTGCATAAGTCCCTCCTTCCTGGGGTGGGAATCCTGCTGGGCTGATCTGTGAACCTGCCAAGCGTTTTCCTATTTGCCTTTGCGGGGCCTCAGGGTTCCGCCACAGCTGGATGTCGTGGGCTGATTTCTAAATCTGGGGTTCCTGAACCCTGTGGGCCAGGTAGGTATATTTCCTGAGGTCACGAGTGGAGTTCTAATCCTTTTTGCATAGACAGGATCTCCTTCAAGAATCCCAGCAGTCAGTAGGAGCCTCCAATAGAGCTGCTTGGGACGACTCAAAGACCTCAGGGGCTGTGCACTGTGAGCAGGAAAACCTGACCCCTCCCCACAGAACTGTCTTCCAACACCTGATGTCCCATGAGTCACTTCTCCTTTAGACTTTGGGGTTCTCTTTATTTCTGCCACCTGTGGATTTTCTCTTCTTCTGAGGTAAGTCATATACTAACTTTGTCCACATTTCATGCTTGGAGCTTGAGGAAGTTCCTTTGACTGGCTTTCCCTGGCCTTCACACAGGACTTGGGCAGTGCTGCACTTAATACCTGGCCTCTAGGTCTCTCCATATGCACAGAAATGTCTCCTCAAGCTGCTCCAGCCGCTGAGTTGATGGGTCGTCCTAAGTTTCCCATTGGCAAAGTGACAGACTTCCTGTCCCTGGAGCATAATTGATCTGTCTTATACCATTTTTTTCCCTTAACTAGGAGAAATCTCAACTTTTTGGATGTTTGTACAGAATTATTTGTAAGTCAGAGAGACTTTGGTGAGTATGCCATCAATACCCGCTTCTAATTGTACAAACCCGAAAAACTCACGTAAGTCTCAGAGCCTCGGTTTCTTCGAATTTTAAATTAGAATAAAAGTCTCTTCCTCGGGGCTGGGGTTGGAGCTCAGTGGTAGAGCACTTGCGTCCTGTACAAGGCCCTGTGTCGCTCCCTAGCGCTCGGGGGAAAAAAACCTTTGTACAGCTTTTGTAAAGTGGATATGTTTTCTATATAGGACCATGTTCTACTTTATTCAACTTGAATGATTATTTATTGAGCATAACACGTGGAAAAGCACTGTATTTATGATACCATTTACATTTCTTATATTCAGGACCAGCTGTTGATTCTAAGGCACAGAATTAGTTTTAGCAAGTGAAAATAGATGGCACCAAGTTTTTAAGTGTCTGTATGTCCCATGCGATATTTTGAACATGCTATTGTAAAAGCACCCTTCACTGTTTATCTGAATCTCCAGTTCCCCTGGGTCTCCTACATTCTATCTGGAAAACCTAAACTGGATCCACCTGTTGCAGTTTGAACAGGGCTATTTGTGAAAGACCTCCACATGTGTGCTCCATTTTTCCAGCCTCTCCCTTTAAACTGCGGGCTAGGCTCCATTATATTTTCATATACAAGCCCGACACAGGGTATGTAGGCATCGGGGAATTTTTTAATCAAATGGTCCAACCCTACAGTAGAAGTCTTAACATGATTTTTATTTGATCCGCCCTTCCTTTGGATTGAATTAGCCATGTTTGCAATGAGATGGACAGAGCACAGAATCTCGAGACGTGGTTGAAGCCAGATGAGTTGAAAGGAAGGTGACTGCGCCCCCCCCACCCCACCCCACCCCATCCCCGGCCCATGGGAAGGTAGGAAATGAGTCCTTCAGAGAAGGGCGTCTCCTTGCCTGTGTTTCCGTGCACTCCGGCACCTCTAAGGTCACTCTCATTCACAGCTGTGCCACTCACAGGGCCCTGGACACACCGCTTCCTCTCCCTCGGGTCTGTTCCCCGTCAGAAAGTCTACAGATCCTCATTCCCAGTCCCACTTGGGGGCGGTCACAGGTGAAGGAGTGGCAGGGAAGAGGGACAGCACTGTGCCACAGTTGAAGGTCGTGAGGACCATGACTAACAACAAAGGCTCCCAAAACAGAGGCCACGCTGGGACAGGCGCCACCGGACAAGGTGAAGAGAGCTGTGCCTCCCGAGGGCGGCTCTGCCAGTCTGCCCACCCCAGCTCCCAAGGGCAGCTCTTCAGTGTGCCCTGCACCTCGAACCTGGGAAGTGCCTCCCTTAAAGCCCCGGGCCAGAGGGTGCTGTTGCCTTCAGAAGAACAAGGAAAATGGGGCTCTCCTGCAGCTCTTTCCAGGGCTAGAGCACGTGTAGCCAGGGTCCCCCGAGGAGCTGCTTCTGTCCCCAAGAACAGTCAGATCCCTAGAAAGTGACAGTGAAATGAGAGAAACGTGGTCACGCCTGGCAGCCACTAGGGGGTGGGCCAAAATAACAGGCGTTGGGCCCTGAACACGGCCCAGGGGAGAGACCAGGGTCCTGAGGAAGAGCAGCAGAAGTGGAGAAGGGGGAGAAAAGGAAAGAGAGAGAAGAAAGAGGAAAGGAGGGAGGGGGAGGGAGGGGGAGGGAGGAAGGAGGGAGGGGGAGGGGGAGGGAAGGGGAGGGAGGAAGGAAGGAGGGAGAGGGAGAGAGGGAGGGAGAGGGAGAGAGGGAGGGATGGGGAGGGAGGGGGGAAGGAGGGAGGGGGGGAGGGAGAGGGAGAGAGGGAGGGATGCGGAGGGGGGAAGGAGGGAGGGAGGAGGGATGGAGGGAGGGGAGGGAGGGAGAGGGGGAAAGAGAGAGAAGGAGGGAGGGAGGGAGGTGTTCTCTATAAATCACCTGTTTCAGAGACTAAAATGGGCTTGCACAGACTTCTCTTGCTGTGTGGCAGGTCCTTCTCTGACAGCCTATGGACCAAAGCTCTGCCTCTGGCATTTCTGTCCCCATGTGCAGTGGCTCCCCTCGCTGCATTCTCCGCCCTGGAGTTTAAAGTGAATCTCAATAAAATCCAGAGTCCTTGCATAGTGAGGTGACTCAGCTGACGCCTTCCAGCTCCTCCACAGTTTCCACCCCCAGAGGCAGTGTGCGCAGTGGGAAGAGGGAATCGGGGGCAAACTGCATCGTCACCATGTGCCTCCAAGTCCCCCAGGCAGAGCGCCTCAGAGCGCCTGTCTGTACGCGAGTCCCTGCTGCCGCATCCTCCTCCGCACCCTGAACCTCCCTTCATCACCCTCTGCACTCTCCATCTTCCAGGAGAGAAGGGAGTGTGTCTGTCCTCTGGTCACTGTGTCTCTCACACCCTCCACGAAGCCCGACACAGGGTATCTAGTGACCACACAGAGCAGTTATTGGTGTCATCCATCCAGGGATGACAGGTACCATCAGTCCTCACTCTTCCTGGTGGTTGTGCCTCCGCAGTCACCGTGAGAGCCTTCCTTAGGTCCTAAGAGGGACACAGGGCGAGGCTCCTCAGAGCCTCTGGTTGCACATTTTACCAACTGGTCAATATACGGCCTTGTTTTGTGTGACTTTCTGTTTAAAGACACCTAGTTCTATATGGACTTTTGCTCAGTAACATCAAACTCGGGCTGGGGATGTGGCTCAGTGGTTAAGTGCCCCAGGTTCAATCCCTGGTACGAAAAATGATAATAATACTAACAAAAAACAAACAAACAAAACCCCATCAAACTCACTGCCACTCTGGGTATGTCTCAAATAATGTCCTTCCCTTTTCAACTCTGGGTGTCAGATCGAGTGCCGGCTTCTCATGATGTTTTTGCTCTTGCCTCAGGAATCCTCCCCTCTACTCACTCATTAAACTCCTCCATTTCCTTCAAGGACCAATCAAATTCCAAGTCTTCTCGTCTTCTCAGACTCACAGAGAAAGAAACAACTCTTCTCATGCATAAAAGATGGGCTGTCATTACAGACTCGTATGAAAGTCACGGAGATGTGTCATTCGCTCCAAGCAGCTTACCAAGTCTCTGGGTCAAAAACCATGTATTTTCACCTCTGAATGGTGGCCCTGGCATTGATGGGGACATAACAGTGCTCAAGAGCTGCTGTTGCAAAGGTCTTCAGGTACTGCATCTGCAGGGTTACCCAGTGGCTTGTCTCCTCACTGCAGCTGAGGTGCTAGGAAGCTGGACTTTGCCCCACCTCCACCCAAGGGCATTCCACTCTCAAGACAGGAAGGGAATTGTTGACCTGCTGTGGAAACCAGGCCCGACCTCTGTGAAGCAGGAAATCAAATGTCAGGTTCTTTCTTGTTGGACAGTCCTGCTAAAGCAGGTCTCCCAGCTATGCCGGACCATTTCACCTCGGAGGGCAGCCGCTCAGGGCTCCATGCTGACCACTCGGGATCCCTGTTCTCAAGCTCTCGTGATGGACAGCACAGCACCTGGGGTCTCTCTGGATGGTGAGGTCAGCCTTGGAGGCAGGTTGGCACTACCTCCAGGGCGCTCTTGCCTGTGGGACTCAAGGGGACTCTTCCTACAAGGCCTGGGCTGGAGCCCCTGGGAGAGCGAATAGACCTGATGGAGCCGAGACGGCCACCTCTTGTCCAGTCCACTCTGCTCCGACCTCCCGGGAGTATTGGAGCTGTTCATGTCCTTGGCCTGTTTCCTCCACTTCACGAGGGCAGAGGTAAAGCCAGAGAAGGGGGGAGGCGAGTGAGAGCAATGAAAGGTTCCGTGAGCTGGTCACATCACACATGGACACCTCGGGTTGACCAGAAATCACCTCCCAAACCCTCCAGGAGGAATGCACATAACTGATAAGCGTCTCAGATAAAGTGATGGCACCCTGAGGTGTGGCTTGTGGAATTAGTCACCGCTTCCCACCTGGTGGGTCAACTAAGCTGGAGTGTAAGAAGAGATGCGGCAGGGGAAGGACCGATGCCCTCTGTGGAGTAAGCGTTAGGGGGTCTTCTGGAATTCCCCAGCCCAGCCGGGCCTGATGACACACACCTGTAACCCCAGTGATGCTGGAGGCTGCAGCAGGAGGATCACAAGTTGGAGGCCAGCAACTTAGCAAAACCCTGTCTCAAATATATATATATATATATAAAAGGGCCTAGAGAGGTAGCCCAGTGGCTAAGCACCCTTGGACTCAATGTCCAGTACCAAGAAGAGAAGACACCTCAGCCCACTGCCCTGGGCTCTGGTTCTCAGGGTCCCATGCATCCACCAAGACATAAGAATGGACAAGTCCATCTTCATTTCAAGGAACTGAATTCTCAGGAACCATATTCCCAGAATACCAAGAATCAGAGCTGAGAAGGCCTTGATCATCCTGCAGTTTAGTTGAAAACTAAACCTTTGTAAATGCAAAAGTAGACTCTCAGAGGAGGCGAGATGAGCTTCCCAAAGGCACCGGCCAAGGCTACTGAAGCTCGTGTAGCCACATCCAGCCTCACCCTGTCCAGCGGGCCCCTGCCCAGGCTGGGTGCGGCTGGGTGCCCTGCTCCCACCTCCGCTGCGCCTGCTCTCCTCGTCTTCTGACGACTACGTGGCTCAGAATCCCAGCCAGTGAGGTTCTAGGTTCACTTACAGCAGGGAAGTGAGCGCTAGACCTGGGAAGCAGAGGGTCAGCAAGGATGGAGAGCCCTGAGCTGCGATGGGCAGTGCCAGCACTCTGCAGACATCAGCAGTGGGTGCTACTGTCCAGCCTCCCCCAGTGTCCGGCTGTGGATCACACCACCCGATGTGGCAGCAGCTAAGATGGGGACGGTTCCCACTCCCAGAACACCACGCTGGCTTCCACTCAGCCCAAACTATATTTCCTGTTCTGTCTCCTCCTGCTGGAAACACCCACGATGACCTCTGAGGCTTGCTCTCCCCTGGTGCCACCTCTGTCTGCAGGGCTGTCTCTCATTGGTCAGTTACACGTGTGGCTTTCAAAGGCTGTGAACAGCAGCATGCAGAACGTGCTCCAGGGGACAGTGAATCACACCAGCAGCTCCTGCCAAAGACACCCTCCTCCCCAAAAGAGCCAGGGCTGCTTTGACAGGGTCCAGATCCTGCTACTAAGGAATGTGACATGATGTCGGGAAGACACAGCTGGACGTGACGCAGAGACGGCGACACCAGGGTGCTGACATGTGGACGGGGAGTTGCGAGATGCTGCGTGTCCTGCGGATCCTGGTGACAGTCTGGAAAACCTGCAGACCCTCTTCCAGAATATTGTTTTTAAATGCATAAAATACAATGGAGCCTGTTTCAATGGAAAGAGGTTATATTTAAATACATTTCTCAAAACACTAAAAATAGTTTTTTTAGTATGTAGAAACCATATATTATCTCCAGAATCAAGAACATTGGACTATACGGCATATCTAACAACTATTGTGACTTCAAAGCAGTGATGAGCAAGCACAGAATTTTGGTGTCATTTCAAGAATTTAATGCAGTAGGATTCATAGATAAAGTCTCTATTAGACTTGTGATTTGCTACCTATGTCGGTGAGGAAAGGGAATGCTAAACCTCAGTTAGAAGTTAGCAGAAATAATGGTGTTATTTTTTTTCTATCTACGTTCATGGACCAAACCCAAGAATTTCTTATCTAGATGTGTGGGCGATCCTTCCTTACACTCCAATGTGCTTGAACAAAATCTGGAGGCTGAAATAAGATCTAGAACCTCAGATACCAAAACAGGGACACGTTTGCCTTCCACAGTCTACAGTGTGTATGCAGCACTCTGGGGGGGGGAAAAGAAGACTCATGGTAAATGCAATTCCTACAATTTCTTTAAAGTATGGG